GCTGGTACTGATTTTGCTTTCCCACGTAACCATGTTTCTCCATTCCTACGTGGCTTGATTTCTGTGCACTTCTGTGCCTGCTAGGTCACTGAGAATGTTTGTAAGACCAATTTAGCTCAGCTACAGCTCCGTGAGTTAAAGCAGCTCCTACAACTTCTATGATTTCCCATGAGCAACACAAGCTGTTTTTATTAACGTCTTTACATGTCAAGTCCACTATAAAGAACCATTTATCGCATAATACAAAGAAATCTTGGGCCATATGTGCTACAAAGTTAAGTGGAGTTCTCCATCTACATCAGTGGGAAATTCTGTTCAGAAATCAACCACCCTTTAGGATCACACAACCCATTGTGGCAGGCAACACGGTTCTGTAAAGAAATGGAAAAATACTGAAGACATTCTGAAATTTGGGGGGGGGAAAAGTGCCCTATGCATCCCAGGCAGCAGGAAGCCATTCAAAAACCAACTTCTTATTTCTTGAAGTTACATAGGTAGACATTTAAAGATATCTGTGTAGAGGAAACACTAGATTGGTTCTCCAATGAACAAACATGCCTTTATTCTCAGTGCATTTGGTTTTTCCTGGATATTTTGTAGACATAGAACAGCTGAACATATTTAGAGCAAAAAGAAGTTGTTCTGTAAATTCTTAATGAATTTCAAAAATCTAGATTCCAAATCACTCCTAAATTATAGAAAAATGCATCCATACTGCTTAGTTCAAATAGCTGGAAGCATAAGCATAAAGGTACCCAGCTTAAAGCAAAAGCTGATTTTGGAAAATCAAAGATTTGACTGGAAACCATATGTTTTTTAAATCTGTGCCTAGTGAATCACATCTCAGGAGGGACAAAGATTTCACCAGGGAAGTTCTACTTAACAAGGTATAGGAATCTTAGCTAAATACTGAAAAATCCAATGATACTCATGGTTCCCCATGTGAAGAAGCTGTAATGTCACTGATGTTACAAGACTATAACTAAGGTGAGCAACATTTTTACTTTTCAGAACCTGTACTGCAGCATCATTTAGGGATTCCAGCCTTTGCCCTGTATGTGTGTATAGTAGAAGACAGACTGTGCCCTAAATACCTTACAAATGGTCAGATGGAAAATAGAAGCCTAGAAAATTGGAATTATTTATGGTTGTAAAACATGCTAACACATATTCACTCATGACCTCAGTACTTAGACGGGAAGAAACCACTGAGTTTTCATTACTAACATACGCTCTGGGAACGTGCTAGTTCCCCTTTCAGCCACTGAAAAGTCACTGCTGTTAAAAATGTCATTCCAGCTCCAAGTTCAAAAATAGCTCTGGTGACCTTGTCAAAATAGTGATATGATACAAAGAATCATAGAAGCAGAGTATCTATAGCTACTTCAAATAGAAAACCCTGCAATCTGAACCTCTTAGAAGAATAAAGGTTAATTTCCCACAAATGGTTCATTAGAATTTCACCCTGAATTTCAACAGTGAAACATGTATGTGTGTAGCATGCAACAAATATTTAATGACACAAGCATTTCTCATTCCCAGTGTTTTCACAATCATGTGGTTCTACAATTACAATGTACTGATACTACAAATAGAATTGTTTCAGGTGTTTTCATTGGGACAGAAATTTATGAGCAGACAAAACTCAGTCACTAAGAATACACCAAGCTCTGAGGATCTAAGCTTTTGCTTCTTTGGAGGCCCACTGAAAGAAATAATTATTTAAGGGGAAGAGACTTCAACGCCCAGACCAGTAAAGTCCAGTACAGAAGAGAAGTCACAGCTATTATCTGACAAGCATCAAACAGCTAGTGAGGAACAAATATTTGGGAGCAATAAGCAAATCCAAGTCAAATTGTCAAGTTTACATTTCACAACATGTCATATTTGTGAAGGAAAGCTATGGAAAGAAACCAATGAATTCCAGAATAGTTGTTAAGTTTGAGAAGTCCAAACCAGCATGGATAATATCTGCTTTTCAGACTGCCTTCAAAATTTTTTATGTTTAAACTTCGCCCTTGTCCCAGTTCACTCCCCAAAAAGCTTTGACAGATCATCAACAGACAGGAGGAAGCCGCCCAACAACCCCACAAAGAACTTACTCTGCTGCCTTCAGTGCTACAGTAAATTGAAAATCCCCACTTCCAGACCAACACTGAACCGTCCTAAAAACCAAAAATACTACAGCATTATATAAAACCACATTTCCACTAGTAATATTACTAATTATTATCACTAGACAAAGAGATAAATAAAACATTCACCTTCCACTAGCACAACCAACCAGCACAGCCATTCTAAGAGAATGGGGCTTATAATCTTACCATATCGTTCAACAGCGAGATTGAGGCAATGACCTGATTTACAAAGCGTTCGCAAGCCATCTACCACACTAAAGTGCTTTTTACAACTCCGGCTTCAATTCTTAATTTTTGGTAACATGACCACAGATATTTTATGCTTTGTGTTGTTTGTTCCTCTTCATGTGAGTTCACTATCACTTAATCATTGACTGCATACTAATCCACTGTTTTTATTATAATTAGATCTATCATCATATGCAATAGATGGCAAATCACAGTGCTGCAAAGAAATAAAATTGGAAGAGAAATGGATGTTACGTACCTTTACATAAATTACAGATGAACTGCAATGTCATGTCTCACAAAACCAAATTATATGCCAGTAGTGCAGAAACACATCAGTAAAAACCAAATTATATGCCAGTAGTGCAGAACTGTATTGTATTACCCATCCCACCTAAGGTTCAGAAGGCTCTCTTTCACTAAGGCAAGTTTTTCACGTCACACAATTGCACAGCTTATTTGCATCATATTCCTGTTTAAAGATGGAAAACCCACTACTGTGCTAGAAGTGCAGGTGACACAAAGTCTGGCCAAAGTTTACAGCTAATAAGTTAGCGTAAGATGGCACATCACTTAATTATTTAAGGATTGTACTGATTATCATATACATGCTCTTGACAGGTAATGATGAATAATATTCAAACAGTATTAATTTAGCTATGGGATGAGCAACAATTAATTCCACTCTCTCTATATAAACTTCAGCAAAGGGTAACACGACTTCGTATCTCCAGAAGGCTGAATCTGCTTTCTATTTGCTGATAAAGTCTAATGTAATTCATAAGAAGAAAAAGCCCATGTTTTAATAATTAGCACTATTCCTTACCCTTAGAGAGGCTAAAATACACATTAAGAAACATTCCAGAATGCCAGTGTTTTAAGGAGAGGGTTGCTCAGAATATACAGCAGCTCTTTTGCATGTGTTTAACCTAGCTGGAAAGTCTGTCCCAGCAGCTTTCACTCCAGAACAGTCCAAAACCCGCCTCAGGAGATGTACTAGTCTGCACAACAGGGACCCAGGGCAAAACGTCAGTAAGGGTTCTGGGAGAAGACAGAGAGTAAGGTCAGGTCTTCGTACGTAACTGTTCCTGCAGCAGAGTCCCTCTCCTCCAAAACGGTTCAGTTCCTACTGATGCTTTTGTTTCTCTCTGAAAGCTGCTTAATTGTTAAAATAACTTCTATCAAAGCTATTCATTTGTCATTTGAAAGAATTCAAAAATATAAGATATGGCAGCAGCCAGCAGGGAACCTGCCAGCCTTCTCTGCTGGAAACCCACCAACAGCTGTTCTGGGACAGCAGCTCCTTTTCCCCTTCTCCCTCCTGGCTAACACTAGCAAGGGCTTGTTTCTGGGAACGAGCACCAGCAGAAGAACCCTTCAGTTTCCTATCCTGCTGCTATCACGACAGACACTGGCAGTCTAACCTCTGCAGACTCCACATCCTGCTACAAACAGGTCTGCTTCTCCAGCTCCCCTGCCCCTACTCATTTTTCAAGCTTCCCAACCTCCTTTCCTCTTCTGCCTGTACTACCCACACCCCTCTGTCCTCCACAAACGAAAGAAGCAAACAAACAAAAGGCAATTCAGGGCATCACAGGGCTGAAATGAACTCAGCTGCTCTGCAAGAATGCTCTGTAACTTTACCAAACTCTTTAAAGGCTGTTTTCCAGAGAGTACATAAACCACACTTCTGACTCTAACTGGGACGCAAGCATCATCTACTAGTTCATTCTTCTGCACATTAAACTGCCAGGACTGTGATGGAAGTAGTGTATCATTTGGGGCAGGAAAGCCACTAATAGGTAATTCCTAGAGGAGGAATTGCAGGTAGTTGGTGAGGACATATCATAGAAAACACTTTATTTATGATTTACAAAATCTGTTATTGTTTCCAGATAACATAAAATTAAAAAATAAAATCCAAACATTTAAAGTCTACAAATATCTAGCAGTTTAGATTATTTTCAAGTGAGCATTCTCATTTATGGTATATAATCACATGCGCTTTTAGAGCCATTGAAAATAAAAACATTCTTTCCATGACTTGAAACTAGCTCTTTTTCGAGCATACAAGAGACACCATAAATTGGAGTAAAGCAAACCTGCACAACCTTAGAACCCATACATCAAACTTACAAAGTTTAAGAAAGTTAGTTCACTGAGGACTAGAACTCCAATACAGTATAAAACTTTTCCCATGGGAGCCATTTATGTGAAAACAAACCAAAGAATAACTTTAAAGGTGACATAAAAATAAAAACATGGAATGAAGTTCATTTCTGGTGTCATTCCATTCAGGTACAGCATGAGCCCCATGATCTGCAGAAAATACTGTCATGATTCATCACAGTAAAAAACACTAAAAACTTATTTAATAAAAGAACTAGATGAACTAGGAAGCAACCGTCAGAAAGATTTCAAATTAAAAGTATCCTTTCCACCAGCATTAAATAAATTCAGTCTTCTTATACGCATATTGATTTAAAGTTCTGAAAGCATTTTTTTCTTGTCAAATTAGTATAAGATGCAAACAAGAATGAGCTATTATATATAGCGCCAATATTACCTTATTTAAGCAGATTAACTCTTGCTAATTATTAAATTACACATCTGGCCTGGTGCATGTTCTTAGTTCTCAAAATGTTCTAATTAGCTATTTGAAAGTGTTCAGGGTGATAGCTGAATATTCGCTGTGCGTAAGGGTCACTGTCCGTTGCCAGTTTTTGTCCCGTGTAAGGGTGGTAGCTTTCTGGATGAAAGCGTTCACAGTGAAGGCTAATCCATTCTCTTTCAGTAGTGTATCTTTCCGCTTCGGCCAGTATTCTAGTGAGAGCCATGATATAACTCAAAGCCATCTGAAGGGTCTCATACTTGGACAGCTTCTTATCTTGACCCCACTGTGGAACCACCTTTCTCAAACGATCGAAGGCTGTGTTCAGTCCTTGCATCCGTCTTCTCTCTCTGGCATTGGCAGCCAGTCTTCTCTTTGCGGCATTCTCCATCCTTTCCGAACTGCACTTCACAATGCAGCCCGGTCCACTTCTGCACTGCATGTCTGATTCTACGCCTGAATCCAAGTGGCTGGATTTACAGGTTTTCATATTCGATGCAGCTTCAGTTTTACAGAAAAAGATTTTAAAATCAGGTGTCTAAAAAGTGGCAGGGAAAGCACTCGTGAGTAGCCTGTGCGCCTCTTGAATCTGTTTCCAGATATCAATGACGGGTTATTTTTCTTATTGTCTAAAATAAAAGAAAAATTAAAATAAAAGGTCTTCTGGTTCTTCTGGAGATGTCTGAAAATTCTTATTGTTTAAAGAAAGAATAAAGAGTTTTTAATGTCTTATGCTTTCATTCTTTTCATTTCTTTAAAGTCAGAGAGAGAAAACATGAAATCTCCATTCTCAAAATGTATGTTACTGAAGAAAACGGTCCATTTAATCCAAAAAGGATCTTAATGGATTAAAAACACATTAATTCCAAACGTCCATTTCAGATGAAAGAAGTTCTGATTCAGTTCAGTAGAGTACTTTGAAATGCTGAACTGTGGCGATCTGAGACATCATTTCGTAACAGAAATCTCTCCTTTCTTGACTCCTGCCGGCAGGCAATGATTGTGTCTTACAGACAAGATGAGGCTTTATAGAAACTGCAAAAGCGAAACAGGTGGTAGCAGGTGGGCGGGCGGCACTCTGCTTCCATCCCAGTACCTTCCCACCCTGGGAACTACAGGGGGAAAAAAAAACCCCAAACAGTAAAATCCGAACATTACAGCCTTCATCTGTTGAGAAGTCTTCCAAAGCCATTCTGTCCAGCCCTAACAACTTGCCATCTGGAGTAGTGTCTGGCTGGCCTCACAAGACTCTGGGCAGTTAAGCAAAAGATCCTTTCAACGGATAATCTGTTGCAACTCAGGGAAAAAAAAAATCTCTGTGCATTGTCGTAGTTGTACATTAAAACATGTGAAAATTCTGGTTAGATAGTATCAAGAGTAGAAGAAATAACAGCTCTAATGAAACAGAGGAGAACTAGCTTAATAGCATATGGCCAAGAATACTACTGTTTTGCACTAGCCAGGACCAAAATAAGTAGATTCAAATTATTAGAAACCATCGGGATTCACCATTTTAATACTGTATAAAGTACACAACATTGCAGAAAGAGTAGTAGCTTGAGAAAAGTGGGTATTATGTATTTGCATGTCAGCAAACCCAATATCATTAAAATAATTTAAAATATATTTAAACAGTTAAAATGTAGCTATGGATTTATCTAATAAAGACTGTAAAAATATTTGGATAGGTTGGGACACAGACAACCACAAAAACTTGCCATTATACAAATAGTCCAAAAACTGCCCTTTTAAACAAGGCTTATTAAAGTGTATGTGTGCATTTTATGTGAATTTGAAAACAACATGTGTGTGTCTACTAATATCCCTAAATAGGTAAAGAGAATAAAAGAGGATGTGAAAAGAAGAAATCCGCTTGCTGGCAGTAAGGGATCATTTCTGCTACCAATTGTAATGATAAAGGAGTCACCATACACACCCCCACACCCCTTAATCGAAACATCTTTGGTTTACTGTACTTGCATTATTAAAACCATTATCTACATAAACTTACATGGAAACACCATCATCATTTTGTGATATACATAAAAGCCAAAAAAAAAAAACCCTGCCACACAATGATTTATTATCTGTATTGATTTCAAACTTAATTAAATTGTTACCAGCATTCATAAATTAGCAACTTTTTTCATTAGAGACTGAATACTGTATATTTATTTAGAACTATAGCTCAATTGTTTTCATTATGACTCTAAAACTTGGTGTAGTTGTAAACAGCTGATTAATCCCTAGCAGAAGCAATGACAATGAAATGAGGGTGAATAATCCAAAAACAATAGGATGCAATTGAACACTAATGGACTCCAGCATGACAGATGTTGAACGTCGGCTGTTACGCCCAGTTGCTCTGCTCTTAATATTCTGAATCCTAATGGTCTTGAACAGAGATGATAGTTGGGGTAGGGAGTCTCCATTATTCCATTATCAAAATGTATGCCACATCTTCAATTTTTAAAGAAGTACAACTGCATCATGTTTCATTATAGATGTTCCACATTCCGATCTGTGTGCACTGACCTATTCTCCCAAACATAAAGAACCACTACCACACATTAAAATGCTACTTTCTGAATGACAATTTCTGATTATCTGTGTGTGTGAGAGAGTTGAGAACAGCACCTTTCAGAAAAAAACACATAACCATATGTCTTTCACAGAAGGATCAGCAATTAGAACTTGTGAGAGATTTCTTTTTCTGAAGATGCTTCATGGGAAGCATTGCATGTGCAGTAGAACAAAAAATACACCTCTGATCTTCCTTTTTTTGCCAGAGCACATTATGGTGCTACAGTCTTCATGTCCAAACAAGTTTCTTAGTTAAATCCTTTGTCTATTAAAACAAATCTCAAGGGATTTTTAATGTAAAAGAACTTTAATAAAATTAAAGTGGTTTTTAAGTTAATACATACTGTGCATTCTCATGACACAGCTATTACTCAGTCCAGATAATTAATCACTCATAGTGTTAAAAGTGCTATTCATACCAGAAATATGAAAAGCAACCCTTTAAAATATCATATGGTATAATACCATATTGTTTCATTTATCAGCAGTTTTCCCATTTTTAACTGAAGATGTTCTACTAGTACGAATTACAATGAAAACTTCAAATATAATGAAAATCACAGTTCTTAAAAAGTTTGTATTTTGCTGCACTAATGCACAGTAAAATAATACATGACAGTGCTGTTAATTTTCCCCTTCCTAATTGATTCACCACCATTATCATGCTTTGACTAACACATTGATAGAATCTCAAGAGAGAAGCTGTGATTTATCTCTCTTACTGAACAACTTGTAACTTTACCCAATATGATTTACTATCAAATCACAGGACAAGGGACCAAATCCATCTGGACTAATAACAAACCCCTAAGAGGATGTTACAGCTTATAGGCGAGGCTGAAAATTGTTCTGCGGCAGATCAAAATGCCTGCTTTTCATCACTTACAATTCTTTTAAGTTTCTGCTTTATGAATGAGAAATAAGAAAGTAAGTATTAAGGTCTTATCCACATAATTAATTTAGTTCATTTGCGTAGTCCACCAGCCGTATCAAAATATGTTACTCAAGCTAGAAAATAAAATGCTTTATTGCTCAGTCAGTAATAGAAAGGGTAATTCAGTGAAATTTTCCCAGGTTTCCTTCACCTGGTTTGCTTTCCTCTACATTTCAGCTTGAGTTATTGCTTAGGTAATTCAATTCCCTCTTCCATTTATTTGTATTCATTTCTCAGAGATCTTATTCTTTGAAATACTCTTTCAAATGATTCTCCAGATTTTTCTAACTTTTCGAAAAGCCATTAATATATTCTGATGTGATAAATTGGCTGTGGTGCTAAAAACTTATCTAGATCCCAACTTGTATTAGTCTCATTTTTACTGTACATCAATCATTTCTCAAAAAATTCCCTTTTACTCTTATTGTCATAATACAGGTTCAAGCCATAAGAACATCAGAATCACCAGAAAGAAGTTCCGTGCCTACTCAATTTCTCAGATTTCAATCTTTGAATCCCTAATTATGCAGGTACAAATTTAGTGCTACTCCATGACCCTAGCAACATTATTCTTGATACACATTTTAATTCTAAAACAGTAACTTTAATCAAAATATTATGCTCTTCTCACAGAAAAAAAAAAGACAGGCAAGAATGCTATTTCAGTCATAAACCAAATTATTTCAGCATTTTTAAATCATCACTGATATTAGGAAAATAAGGGATAGTTTCAGACCATTAAAGACATTAACTATTTTCAGGATTTATGACCACATACAGAAATACATTAAAAATTGTCTGCTAGATAGCTAAGTTAATAACTCGGATGAGATTATTACAGCACCCTCCAAGAAGCGCTAGATATCTTCCACCTGCACTGCCATGGAAAACACAATGTAATTACTTCTGTTGTGGAACATCTCTGGCCAAACAACTCATTTTTAAAGAAGTGAAATTAACATTTCTGGTTAAAGTTTAATTCCTCTTTTCCTTTCTTCCCTAGTTGTATTAAAAATAACATACATAAGCAATACATCAAAGCAAGAATCTTACCTCCTCCTTCTAGCCAGAACTCACTATTTCATGTCAGGTAGATGTTTTCTAAAAGCCTTATCAAGACTTCTTACCACTGTAGTTTATACTGAGCAAAGCTGAAAGACTGGCGTGCCGTATGCTGCTTAATTAAGAGCAGGTGGGTAACTACCAAAATATGACCATCCTTAAGGGCCCAATTTCTAGGAATATTTGACTCAGCTCACAAGACAGGCTAGAAATCCATGGTGTGCAGAATAATGTATTTTCCTTCTTTGGCTATTTACATTGTTTCCCCTATCACAGCCATAGGACAATCAGAAAACAGTAAATCACAAGCGATGTTGTATCCTGAACTGAAGGGAAGTTTCGACACTAACTCATACTGGGAAGTCGAATAGCAATCTACAGCAGTAAAATGAGTTCACAGTCACTTCACCTAGGGCTTCCTAACCTCATACTCTTCACCCTTTTCTACAGAGCGTTCAGAACATTTTATCTGTCTCTTAAGTCTCTCTGTGGTGAGCTTTTCTTTGCAATAGTTCACTAAGTCTCCCAACCGCACTTAAGGGTCTACTTGCCACACTACACTCCAGCCACTGCTTCTTCTCAATTTACTCATTTCTCCTTGCCAGGCAACCTTTTCTGTTCCATGTAGTGAGTAGGTTTCCCCCAGGCGAGGCCCAAAACCAGCTCTCCCCAGTGATCCTGCACAGAACACCCTTTCAGTGTAACTTTGTTTTAAAGCATGCTTCTACAACAGGAGGTCTAAAACCTCCTGAAGAAAAAAAAAAAGAGAAAGGGTTCATTTTATCATGGTACTAGAGGAACATGTTTTGTACCTCTAACTGCCTAAAACGGTTCTCACCTATATTACATACTGAGTATGATGACTATTACGTACATATCTATACAGACGACAGCTCACGAAAAGAAAGAAGTTTCCATTTAGAATGATATTGCAG